AGGGGACATTGTTGATGCTGGAGCATCTCAGCCGACGGGCGGCTCCAAAGGTGAAGAAGAAGAAGGTTGACTGAGGGGAGTTGGTTTCTCCCTGCCTGAAACTTTTTTTTTATGCTGGTTTTTATTCTCAGTTTTTATTTAAATTGAATGAATGCCTTAGCTTAATCTTTAATTTTATTTGAATGTTAGATTGTCTTCAATTCCTAGGGTAGTTTCTTATGTTTTTGTTTGATGTTTTAGTGTAATTCCATGAAATGAAAGCAAAATGAAAAGCAAGGTTGAAAATGAGAGGTCCAATGTATAATGGTCTAATAATGATGCTGATTTCGATAAGCTTTTGTCTTTGATGTCTGGTCTGTGGGAATTTACAGGATTTCTACTCTGGCTATAGTTAGAAAGGAAAGACACAATTCTTGCCCTTTTTCTAAGGTGCTTTAAAGTAACCTATGATAGCTTCATTTTGCTAGTATCCCATGGCTGCCGTAGAAATTTAACCTTAGCAGAATTTCAAGGGCTGATTATCCCTTTCCAACTTGCCAGCAAGCTACTGACCTTAGAAAAGTAGCAAGAATTCACCGTTCTAGAAACAATCAAGATAAGTAGTACTCCCTACATCAGCTATCTCTATCCTATCTTCATTTAAGTTTGGGGGAGCTTTGTCCTTTCTCTGATATCATTCAGCAAGCATTGAGGACAATGTTTCGCTTTAAGTTTGGGGATGAGGGACTTTCATTTTATTGTAACATTTATTATTGTATTTACCTTGCAATGCAATCATTTGTAAAGCTATCCTAAAACTTTCGCCTTGTAATTCAGCTCTATCATTGAAAAAAAAACAGAGAGAGAGAGAAAGACGAAAGAAAGAAAAAAAAAGAGAAAAAAAAACATTCCAAAGAGCTGTAGGGTCAGGAATGGCTAGTAGCCCATACCTGTTAGCTAAAGTCAGTAGCAAGTTAGTAGAAGTAAAATAGTGGAAATCAGTTTGAGAAAACAAGTTCGGGGACTTTTCAAATGCTGCCACGGGTGAGGGTGAAATGGAGTGGTCAGATGTAAATAAAGCACCTTAGTCTTAGTGCAATAGTTGTTTGATTTCCTTCTAGTTTGATGATTGCGTAGATTGAGAAACATTTAGCCGCAGTAATGGATCGTAGGCAGTTGGTGAAGTTGTTAGCATGCATTGTTTTTCCATTCTATTGAGTGTAGAGTCGGGAGTAGCATTGCTTGGGTACAAGCAATCGTTCAAGTTTGGGGTGTGATAACTCTCTAAAATAGAGTTATTTGTGCAAGTATTTCATATAAATTAGTAAATGGTAGTCTCACTTACACCCACTTTACACTGATTTTGTGCAAATAATGTTTCAAATTCACTAACATCCCTGCATTTGCAAATGACGTTGAGAGTTATGAAGAATGACCTAACTTTGAATGTTTTGTTGTGGCATTGTTGATGCTGCAACATCAGAATCAAAAAGGCATAAAAAGACAGAGCTGACAGTAAAAGCTTTTGCCCGATAAATTACTGCAGTAAAATGAAAAAATACCTAATATGCTGAGCTGAGACTCACTTTATCATTTGTGTTGCCCTAAAATCAAGGGGGGTATAAAAGATTGCATTTAAGCGGTGTCTCCATGTAACACCCCAAGTTTTCAAGTTATTTTTATCTTGAGATTTAAATTCGGTCTTTAGAATTTTCCCCTAAGCTGGTAATTAAATTTTTTGATTTCTAAGTTGTAGTTCTAATTTTGGATAAATTAGAATTAAGTTTAATTTCGTTGGATTAAGATAAATTTAGTTTTCGAATTTTATAAGAGATTTTTATTTAAATCTCATCTGAAGAATTTGAAGATGTCATTTCCCTTTAGAATTTTATTATTGGGTTCGAAGCATAAGTCAACCTCTTGACAAAACAAAACCCTAGGTTTTTATCATCTTCCTCTTCCCTCTTCTTGTCCAGCTGCCTACCAACCCCCACTAGTTTTCTTCTTCAACCATCACTCTTCTGGTCTCTCTCCGACCGACGGTAGCCCCTAATTAGAACGAGCGGTGCGGCGGTCCCTGTAGCACTCACGGCAGTCTAACCTCTGAATCGGTGGCGGCGGCGTACTTTCCCTCAAAAGTCGACGATTTTAACAGTAGCCGATGCAATTCGTTGTGACTTCGATGCCAGCACTCCCCACGACAGAGGCATCCCTGTGGTCCACAACAACAACGTCGGTCCAGTAGCAGTGCACGCCTTTGAAGTTTCAGATTGGTACGACGACTCTTCGACGACCCTCCACGATCGACCGACGAACTCAGACTCACGACATGTTCCTATCGGATTCAAGCAGCAAGCAGCAGCAGCATCTCAGATTCGCGAAGCCGGTAAGTTCGTGACATATTTCATTGTTCTGGTGACGTTTGGTGGTGACTCACCTCTCATACGAAGTCGATTTGCGATACCCACCCCTTCGACATCTATTCAGCGGTTACCGACACCCAAAGGAAGGTCGATTTGCAGTACCCATCGCTTTTCGGCATCGAACTTCGTTTTGAAGTACCGGGCTCATTCGACTTTGACCCACTTTTAACCCAATTTATTTTAGGGTTAGTGAGTTGGTAACTACTCATATAAAATTAGTTTGGAATCAATTAAAGCGATGTCTAACATGAGTTGATTGCTTTTGGATTTAGGAACCCTTCGGTGATACTTAGAAGTGTTGGACCTTGTCTAAGTAGTTCTTACTTGGGGGATATTTATTGTTTGAATATGTATGAATTGTTTGGTACTTTCGATGTGTTTATTATTCATTAATATGTAACTTGATTGTCTCTTTATGAATATTTGATAATGATTATAGGTAGCTTGAATGAAATCGTGTTGGTTCTAGTTGTTTATAACTGATTTGCTTTGTGTTGTTGGATTTGATGCTTTATGGTATTTATGAACGCATTATAGATTATGAATGGTTTTATCGTTGTATGGTTGTGTTCATAAAAGCATACTGGAACAATGTGGGAGAAATCTCTTGTGTTGCACAAGCATGTTGGATGTTAGGGTTGGCTTTTTACTGTAGAAACATGTGTTGGTAGGCCTGTTTGACCACGTTTTTTTACCCCTTTTCCATCATTATTTGCCAAAAAGAGTCACATATTCTTAAATTAGAACATGCATAGAACATTTATACATAAAAGTCAAACTATGGTACTTTAGGAAACAAAAGGAGAAAAATGCGGTCAAAGTTGAAAGAAAATAACAGTTTTATGTTTTTGCAGAATTGCGCCCAACGCATTTTTAGAGAACAAATTGGCAAAACGCACATTTGATTAATGAAGGTCAAGGACGAAATTTCCCACATGTTTAAACAAACTCAAAACCGTGAGTCCAAGTCCAAGAGGTGGGAAGTTCAACCAACCCAATGTGCTATTTAAGAAAGCCATCCCCCCACTTGCAAAGCATCCCTTCCAAGCTCGTTTTCAACTTCATTTACATTCTCCCTTCGCTCTAGAACTTGTTCTTAATCTTAGATTCAAGTTTTAGTTGTTATTTCCTTGTATCTATGTACTTTATTACTTTTAGTTCAAGTTCTATCATTTGTTCTTCATTTATTCTGTTATTCTTAAGTTCTTAAGCAAGTTAACACTCCCCTCACGCTCAAGAGAGAAGAGGGTCAAGCTAGAACGCATTGTACGGCTCGTTTATTCGTTTTAATTCAATGAAAAATACTTCCTTTATATTTTCGTGCATTTTCTTTCCTTTAAAAATGTTCTAAATTGGTTATCAACCTCTCTGTGGAATGCCTTAGTTAAAATGATTTGATTTTCAACACGCTCCAGATTTGCCTATAATTGCGCCTGACACTTTTTTAGGTTGGTTTCTAAAAACTTCTCCTTACGTCTTTTTTCTATTTGGACGGTAGGAACTTGATTTATACGCTAAAACCCAACCCTGAGAAGGGTGACTTAGGTAAAATAATAGAAAAACAATATGGGACTTGACTTAGACATAAGCGCATAAAATATGGTCTTAGAAATTGGCCCTCTAACCCATAAAGCAAATGAGTTGGTAAATATTCCCTACGATTGTAATCACACATAGACATATGGTTCTAGATTACCCTAGCCTCTATAGCAACCAAAAGCAGTAGTGAAAGAGTAGAACTCAGTTTCCCAACAAAAGCTATAATTGCACCTGGTGCATTTTCTCAACAATGTGCGTTTTCCATGTTTTACATCAAAACTAAGATAAGAAGCAAAGAGGTTGAGTTTTATTAAATTGCTTGATAGTTAAAACCCCCAACAACAACATTTCATCATTATTTTTTTCATAAACCACAATTGCATATTTGAATCATTTCACTGCATTACTTGATTTTGAAAAGCAACAAGTCCCAGAGGATTCCACCTTGAATTACTTCCGAGTATTACTTGTGATCGTGTGCGCTTGCACGAGTCTCTAATCTTTTAAAAGGTAGAGAAAGTCCCAACATGTTTTTAGCGCTGTTGCCGAGGAATTAATTTTCAAAATCATATTATTTTTTTCAAGTGAATTATTTCATATTATGATTGTTGTGTGTCTCTGTTCCTTGAGATTAATTGTTATATCTAACCTTAAAAGGCCAATTTTTTTTTAGCACAAAAATGTTTTCTTGCCGGAGTCTCTAAGGAGGTTAAGGCGAGAATAGAGGTCAATAAAACAAAAGAAAAACTGAAAAAGAAAGGAAATGAAAAAAAGGAGATGTTACTTGTATTGAACCAATAACCAGCAGGAGTGTTTGAAATGCAGTCCCAATTTATGTATAATCTTAAAATGGAAGTAACATGCCTATAGCTCCTGTGAAGCAATTATGTTCTTTATATTGTGGTCATATTCGTCATTCATTGGAATATTGCCCATCTAATCCTTCATCTTTTTATTATCCAGGTCAACAAGGGAACCAATAAGAATTCAACCCTTATTCAAATCCATACAACCAAGATTGGAGGGATCGTTCAAATTTCCCGTCGGGAGAACTTCAACCTGAAAGTATATTCCATCCGTATGAGCATGCATTCTCACCGGAATTCCTGACACAACCTTAACAAGAGTACAATCAACCATGGATGCCAGAGCAAACGCAATCATTGGAAATTTATAGCCTTGAAGCGACTATGATAAACTTTATGGCAAGAAGTGATGAAGCAATATGTAGGCTACAAATCCAAATAGAGCAGATAGTCGATGAGTTAAGGAATAATCCACAGGAAGCATTGCCTAACAATATAGAGGAGCAAGGTGAGGCAATCAATGTATCGAGCAAGCTTGAATATGGGAAACCTGACCTCCTAGTGGACATGGATGATCCACCAGCCCCTAATGCAATGAACGAGGTATGGAAGAATGAGGAAGTTGAACCCGAGAAACCGATGGAGGTAAGAAGCATGACATTACAATGGACCTAAACCCATCACCTTTAAATTTGGACCACTTTTCCATTTCCCTTTATGCTCATTAGAGATAATCCAAGACATAAAGAAGGAAGAGTTGACCAAACCTGTCAATGATCGAGTAAATGAAGAACTAGGAGAAGATGAGATAGGTTCAGATGAAGGGATCTACGTTAAAGTTTCACCCCAAATTCCAATTTTCGAAAACCAATGCATACGAGTAAGTCACCTACCCCTTGAGCTAGACCTTCAAGCATATTGTGCTTTGAAAAAGCGAAACTGTGACATAGCAATAGCAGAAGAGAGGTTGAACGAGCTTGAGGAAATGAGTGAAAGTCAAAAGCCTCCAACGTTCTTTAAAGTAAAATCAATAGGAGGGAAGATTGAACATTAGTTTCATGCTTGATTACTTTCCAGTTTTTTTTATGTCCTGAACGTTTTAATAATTTTGTTTTCTTAGTACAAGATTGAAGTTCCCAGTAAAACAAGCAACGCATAAGGCAAAGAGCAGTGAGCATTATTCCATAAGAAAGAACAAAACAAGACTTAAATATGGAATGCCTAGAAAAAAACAGCTACTTAGTGGCCGTTATTTTTTTTCTCATTAGCTAAATCAACGGAGTTTTCTAACCCTTGTTTTGTTGTTGACAACATGTTCTTTTGTTCATGTGTACTTAGTCATGATCTTTTCTAGGTAGAAGTATTCGCATAAGCTGGATAGCATGCTGAGATGTTTTGTGGATAACATATATCATGCTTAGTCTTACAAGTTAGGGTCATATAAGCATTGACATTCTATGGACCCTATGCTCCTTATCATACTTCTTGTCTTCATTGGTGCTGCTAAAATTACTGTCTATTTGTTAAGCATGTCTAATCATGAGAAAACAGTAAGAACAGTCCCTCGGTCGGTGTTGAGGGCGTTTTTATGTAAAATATTTTTTGTCTTCTTTTTGCAGAATTTTTATATTTTCTTTAAGGTTTTTTTGTGTATAGTCCAAATCTAATTTTTTTTTGTTGCATTTGAATTTTGCAGGATCAAGATCTGAAACGTCAAAATTGCGCCAGGCACAATTTAAGAGAAAATGGATTTTCAATTTTCGGGCATGATTTATGTGGGCTTTAGTTGGGTTCTGTTTAAATGGGCTTTGGGTTGTTTTTAAATCAAAAAAGGCCTAATTATAAACTCTATTATGTTATTAATATGTTTTAAAACATAAAACAAAAAGCCCCTAAGTTTTCAAAACCCTCATTTGCGATTTCTAATTCCCAAATCCCTGCCTCATGTTCAAATTTCCTCTCAAGAAATCTTCAATAATATTGAATTGTCTCCCATCCCTCTCTTTTTCGGCACATTACGGTTCAAGGGAGGAATTTTTGTGTGACCGTGAAGCAAAGGATCAAGAATCATGGAAGGCTCTTCCTTCTCTAAGCCATGCAACAAAGAGAAGGTGAAGAAGAAGGTGTTGTTGGTCCCACCAACTAAACCAGGTATGATTCCTCTTGAGCCTCATAAGATTTCTCGTGAAAAGTTAGTTTTTGATCTTAGGGAACAAAAAAGAGAATTTGAGGAAGATTTAAAAATGAACCCTAGAAGGAATCTATCTATAGGTGGTGCAAATTCTGAAAAAATCAATGTAGAACCGCATGATGCTAGGGCTAATAAAGAAGTTCACTGTGAAAAGAAATTAGGGGGAGTTACTAAGGTATATCTTCGAAAAAATCAACCTTTGGATGAAAAAGGTGCTGCTTTAGATGAAAAATTGCTAGACTTCATGAAAGAGCAGATATGATAAAAAAAAAGAAAGAAAGAAAGCAATTAGTGATAAAGAGAATGAAGGAGTTTGTGCTAAAATTGAAGAACTAAACATAGAATGGCAAGAATTCATGGAATACTCGAAGAAAGTGAGGGAGGAAATTTAGCTTCAATTAAATAGTATGAGTATACATCGTAGGTTGAATTCTTCTGAAGACAACCCCATTTCCATACCATTAAAGTTGTCTATCCATCCCCCTCTTTCCACTACTGTTGCTATGCATGTTGAAGGTCAAGAACAAGTTAGTGAAGACTCGGAACACGACACGGAGCCCTTGGAGCATTCAGATTCGGCCATGGTCGAAATCCATTGCCAAATTGTGTCTGACGCAATTTTGGATGAGACTCTATTGGCAATTCTACAAGGTATTTTGTCTCCATCTTTTCCAGATCATATCTGACTAAAAAGCCCCTAGTTTTTTATGACTTTGATCAGTAAAGGACAATGTTAAAAATTGCCGAAATTTTGGTGGGGTTAAATGAGGCGACGGAAGAGTATCCATTGGAGGATGATGGAAACAGTGGGGCAGCTCAAGAAAGATTAGAAGTTGAGGAAGAAAATGAAGATCTTGGAGAATTACCTTAAAAAGTGCATAGAGATGAATATGAGGAGGAAGAAGACAATGATGATATCTCTCAATATGAAGTGAGAGTACAAACTCCGGTGCATGAATCTCAACAAGATGATGAGGAGTGCCCTGCACAATAGCAAAAAGGAAAATTTGGTCCTGTAGATGTCCCTAATGAGACCATGGAGGGATCATCTTCCTCTTATTTAAAAGGTAAGTCCCATTTTATTAAATTTAAATGTTTTTTACCCAAACTTTGTTGCTAATGCATATACTTCAGAGGAGAAGGTGTGTTTGACCTAAGTGGTGAAGAAAACACAGAAGAAGAAAAAGTTGGCAAAAATTGCGCTTAGCGAAATTTCTAGGCCAAGGACCCGAGCTGCTGTGGCGCGGTTGACTGTCCAAAAAGAGGTCGAGGCTGGTCCATCTAAAAAAGCCAAGAGAGCTAGGGTGTCTAGAGGTTAGAAGAGCCACTCCAGGAGGTCAACGAAAAGGAGCCCAATTCTACCAAACAAACACCATCAAAAGTAAAAAGGGTGAGATTGGAGGTGAGGAAGCCTGACTTCACACCATATGATATCTAGTTTGAGAGGGGCTTTGATGAAGCACAAGAGCCCGTCCCATAATATGTTAAGAGGAGGCTTATGGAGAATGGTTAGGAAACATTGTTTTCCCCAACTACATGTGTATCTGAAGCCATGGTGAAAGAGTTCTATGCTGCCATCAATCCCAACCGAAGGGATGTAGTGAGAGTACGAGGTATAGTGGTAAAATTTTCACCTTCCATTATTAATACTGATTATGGTTTGTTGGATGTCTTTAATGCCATAGGTAATGAGATTTTGGTGTATCCATCGGACGAGCAAGTGGAGGAGGCACGTAGACTTATTTGTAGACCACACAAGACATGGATCATCTCAACCACGGGGAACTTTTCCTTAAAACCCCTTAACAGCAATGAATAAAGGACGGTTTGGACATATGTGGTGAAGAATCGGTTGATCCCTACTTCTCACGATTCCTTCATTAAGCGCAATGGGGCAATGATGGTATACATCCTAATGAAGCGCATTGAGTTCGACTTTGGTGAACTTGTAAAGAATGAGATATAGAGTTCCTCGGAGAAAATGGTAGGTCCCCTTGTTTTTCCTGGATTAATAACTGTGTTCTGCTTGCAGGCGGGAGTAGAGGCTGATGATGCGAATGTAGTGACTCCCAAGAAGCCGGTCTAATGAGAGTTCGGGGATATTCGATTGTTCAGGAGGAAGATTCTTCCATTATTACTACGGATCCTGAGACCCAAGGTGTGGTAACTAGGGAGCCATATGACCAGCTTAGGCACGAGTACGAGCTTTTCTTGGTTACTCAATGTGCCACTTGTGAGTTCCTCAAGAAGATATACGGTGATGAAACACCTTCTTTCCCCAATGAGCTTGCGGCCGACTTACCATCCTCTTATCGTCTTCGAACCGATTCCACCAGCGATGAATCTTCAAATGATGATTAGGGGAGTATCTAGCTCCCTCTCTTTGCTCTGATATTTAGATCTTGATTTTGTATGTTAGATTGTTTAGTTTATGTTGTTTAGTTTAGTTTGAATGTTAGGTTGTGTAGGTTGCTTTTGTGCTTATTGTTTGCATGATAAGTTGTTCTCAAATTTGGGAGAGAAAAAAATAATTATTTCTCATATATTTTTAATAATAAAACCCAAGTCACCTTAAGTAGAGGTGAGAAACAAGTCAAAATAAAATCTATCACAATAATCTACTAATTACAAATAATAAAAGAAAAATAATAAATAAGTATTTACAGTAACTATTTACTAAAAAACACCATAAAACCAACACTCTCCCTCAAGCTGGTTTAAATATATCTCCATTGCCAGCTTGTTAATCAACTTATCGAATTGCATTTTTAGAAGACCTTTAGTCAACACATCAACAATTTGCTCTGTTGTTGGCAGGTAAGAAGTACATATGACCCCTGCAGTGATCTTCTCCCTAATGAAGTGTTTGTCAACCTCAATATGTTTTGTCCGATCATGTAGGACTGGATTGTGAGCTATAGACATGGCGGTCTTGTTGTCACAATAAACACGAATAGGTGCCTTATGAGAAAACTTCAATTCTTCTAGTAGCC